AGGTGGATGGAATAAATCTAGTAATTATAAACCACCCACAGATGAATGTTAAAACCAAGGCTGAGAGAGTAATTTTAAATTAGGCGATCGACCACAAACAAACACATCGCTAATAAGGAAATGGGCATTTATCTGAATGGGATAGCGTCACATAACAAAGCCAAAAAAATAGGAAAGATCACTGAAGCATAAGATACATCAGGCTTTAATACTTTTGCATGGTTTTTGCAAAATGATCAACTAAAATACAGCTTGTCCTTAATTTGTTCACCGTAGCGTCATCAGAAATGTTTCAATGAAAGGATGGCTTTCTGGATTTGTAGAAAAATTTGCCTTATATACTGTATTTCAATTTATGTTTCCACCTCTTCCAGTAAACTGTTGCATATATTTCCTACTTTCCCAGGACAATATGAAGAAGTCAGAGGTGCGTAGGTCAAATGCTGATTGGCTCATAGGTGGGCTGGAACAGGAAAAGGATCGACAGTTGAGTTCACCACAAGTGGGAAAAGCATGCAATCCATCAAAGATCCTTAAAAAACATGCACAGAGGCCGCAGTGGACACTTTTAATTGTTTTTAACACTCAGTTTTGTTGTAGCACGTTGTATAACTTCACACTCTCTCTGATTAGCTGATGGCCCAAAAACAGCACAAGCAAGAGTAGCGCACAGACTGGCTGTTTGCGACAATGCTGCCTCACAACAGTGAACAGACAATAATAACCAAAGCTGTCCGTAGTCTCTGCACAGGACCAATGCCCAACCCTGTTTCAGCCATTAGGAGTAATAGGGGATTATATTTCCGCTTTCCTTTTTTTCCCGTTAAACACTGACTGCTTTTTACTGAGAAATGATGAAGTGATTAAGTTGTTTTTAAGGGTCGTCACAACATCTTGAGCTTTGCGAGGTGCATGAGCAGCAGCTCCCTAACTAATGTCAGGGGTGGGGGTAAAAAAAACCCTGACAAATAAAGAAGTTGGGAGCCACTGTGGAAACGGCATTTGGTGATACATTCCTAGATCGTTTCAGCTCACAGACCTTTCCACTGTTATCCAATCATCCGTAGATTTCTCTGTAACACTGTGTACGAAGTATTAAGAGGTGTTTATACACCTCTCTGAATTTAATTATTAGTAATTATTCATCTCTGGCTCTCTTCCACAGAGTGTCTTTGTCCTGTCTTCCTCCCCTAACCCCAACCGGTCACGGCATATGACCGGCCCTTCCTGAGCCTGGTTCTACTGGAGGTTTATCCCTGTCAAGGGAGCTTTTCCTTCCCAGTTTTGGCAAAGTGGTTGCTCATAGTGGGTCATATGATTGTTGGGGTTTTCTCTGTATTACTGTAGGGTCTTTACCTTACAATATAAAGCGCCTTGAGGCAAACTAAATTGAATTGAAGCAAACTGAATACACCCATTAACAGTGAAACAGTGCTCACTGTATAGCCCTGAACTTTGGCAATATACAAACAATTTCAGCCTAAGTGGATATTATTGTCAGAGTCACTGAGAACAAAGATGATATCAGTTAAACAAACTCCAGGCTTTCCATCTATTCATAAACATACAGTATGGGTAACCTCACATAACGTGTATAGTTTTTTTATAGTTTACACATAACTCTGAAAATATCTCAGTATATTGAATTAGGATCATTTGCGAACGCACATGCACATTTGTATAAAATTCACATGTTCCCATGCTTTTCACCAGATCGCACCTGGATCAAAGAGAAATGACATCATTGGAGGAAATGAGATGCTGCCATTCAGCTCCATTTGGCTTCCCTGCTGGTTTAGGGGGGTCCAATAGCAGCTCCTGAAGAATCTTATCAGTCAAGTTATGACTTCACTGTCTAGTCCCTGCCAGTCACCATTCAACCTGTGAGATAGACGATGACAGCTCGCCATTGGATGTTGCTCCAAAAAATCTTTTATCGAGCCCATTCATTCATACGTGCATACAGATAGAGAAATTCAGAGACACACAAAGACAAACAAACAGAATCACTCACCCCTCCTCCCTCCCGCACAGCCGCACTCATCTACCGTTTCATCCCAAAGAGACTGTACGCATTCAAACAAACAGAGGAGACGGTTATTGTCCAAATGCAATTATCTTGTACTGTCCATCTCGTTGACTGCTGTGGGACAAAGGGCCCTCTGTTGATGAGGATAGCAGTGTGTGAATGGGAGGTTAGACATCTTTGGCCTTTTCCATGGCTGTGGACATTCAATCTGCCATCCACACATCCCAGTGGATCTGATAACACTAAACAAACCCCAGAGAGAGCGAAAGAGGGGGAGAAAAGCCAGACGCTAATGGCTTCAGTATTGTGTGTAAATCCTCTCTTATCTTTCTGCTCTCTGTGTTAAGAGACTGGTCAAGGGCAGTGGGAAAGAATAAACTCTATAACCACAATGTTGTCTGCCAGCGTTCACCTCAGTGTAAACAGTTTAGAATAGGGCATGCCCATGCAAGGATGAGCATACATTGAGAAACACACCTACACACACGCACTGTATGCATAAACTCGGTATCTAGACGAACGCTACAAAAGGCTGACCTGGCATTAGGCTGGAGCTAATTATTCTCAGCCTCTCGGATTCTCCCACTGGACTTCATTTCACATATGCGCGCACACACACAGACACAGACACACTAATTCTTGTGCTGATTCTCTCTTTAGCGCTGTCTTGTCTGCATCTTGTCGCGACGGAACAGTAAGGGGGAGAAAATGAGAAGAAAGGTAACAGTAGTGAGGATGGTGGAAAAGAAAAGACATGAGGATTATCCCTCTAATCCCCCTGTCAACTTTTAGGGATTATAGGGAAGGCTTGGCTACATTAAGAGTACAGTAGCAACCTGTACTGCCCATCTCCTCCACTTTCCACACACTTTATTTGGGAAAAAAATAAAAGCAATGTCTTTTTAAAATTTATTTTGTATGATCTGACAACAAAAAAGGGTAATGGCTACACTTTAATATGTTATTAAAGCCTTCCAGTGGCTCAACAAATACAAACACTCTCAAAATCTCCCATTGCTCCGGTTGTAATATCTAACAAATATCTCACAAATTAATTAAAACAAAAAAAAGAATGTTCAATTTCAGCTGATCTGCCCAAAATGTATTAGCTTAAATGAAAAAATGTGTCTGGATTACTGGCTTACTGTATGTAAAGGTAGGTTTACCTGCACCACAGCTCAGAGCAGGGACACTTTATATTCATCCATCACATGCAGTCACTGCCAAAATCTTCGTATAAATGGATAAATATCTGGCTGCAGACTGATGCACGCCTGAATGTGGGTTATGCCAATTTGTGAATAACCTCATGACTCTGTCACAGCTATAAAAAGAAAAGAAAAGAAAAAAAAAAGAAAATCTATGAGAATTGTTCACTAGTAATTTGTGTTTAAATGACGAAAACTCAGGCAAAATAAAGACAACAAAAGAGGTCTGGAGGATCAGCTGAAGTTGGGTGTCATCGTTTCATCATCTCCACTTCTCAAGAAAGCTCTCAGAAGCTGGCAGTCTGTCTTCTTTGTAAGTTAACTGCAATTTTTCTCAGTGTGAGACCTTGTTCTGCATTCACTTAGGAAAAGACAGTTACTCGTGTAGTTGCTGCTCCTAATTTGCAACTCAGACGCGCAAAGTAAAACGCGAAGAAGAGGGAAATATGAACAAGATGCCCCTTGTTCACTGAGCAAAGCTGCAGAAGAAGATGGTTCAAACATCAACAATCTCTAAAAGGCACAAAATAGCTGTCACTTCAAGTTGCTGCCAAAGAAGACTCAAACATAGATGACTGCAGCTAAATTATAGAGAATTCATACACTTGACTTGCACGCATGCTTCCCACACACACTTGCGCGTCCTCGGTGTACATGATGAGAGCAGGTGTTGGATGTAATGAGTTTGTCTACAAGCTGTTATAAAATGACAACTGGGAGTGTGGCCCCTATCGCTGGCAGATACACCCACTTTTTGCACACCGAACGCAAGCGCGCACAAAGGCACACTGCTGCTACATCCCTAACTACACACTTCTGTCAATACCACTTGTCTTTCAGGGAGCGGGTCAACTGTGAGCAGAGGAAGAGTTGTGATGGCACTGGTCCACACCTCTGCGCGCGAGTGTGTCAGCGCATGAATGAATGTTTGCCTATACTTCTATCTTACACACAGCTAGGGTGGACAGATGTCTTCCCGCATGAGATGTGTGTGGCAGATATGGTAATGTGTGAATTAATGTCACACGGCCACACCTTGCGGTCCGCATCACGCCGTCTCATCTCAAGGACACGATCGGCACTGCCAGCTACCGTGGCTGTAATTCACTCCAAATCCTCCTTTCAATCACTTTCACAATCTGCCCATCAGTAATACATCTTCGGGTGCCACACTCCCGCAGTTTCACCGCTCTTATCGGAATCATCATCAGACTCTGAGACACTTTAATTGGCAAGTGCAAGTAAAGAAGAGGGAACTTTTCTTGTTAGCAGCTGAGGCAAAAATCTTGGTCAATTAAGGACAATTGAAAGAAGACAAACCCTGAAAACACAGATAAAAATAGGACAAAACACAAGAAAACATACCAAACACATTTGTACTTAATAGAGAAACCTTTTCCAGCATTAATAATTCACTTTATTCTGATAGGTAATAACATTTAAGTGTATGACTAAAAGCGTAGGATGAATGCATGGCCATCAGGCGCTCTTTGTTATTCACCTGTGGAGTTTATTCAATGGTGAAAGAGAGGATCCACTAAGCGCTTGCTGGGGTCCAGAAATGGTGTCCTTCCTCCTTTTTTTTTTACCTTCCTTTAAAAGTCCTTTCTCACTGTGAACACGGGCCTAAATGCTTCAGAAACCCATTAATTTGCATTCTTCCATCCATCAATTCTTCCATCTGTCTATCCACCTAAAAAGCTTCTCTGCCTTCCCCTCCATCCTTATCGCTCCATCTGTCCATCACTGCTCATTACTCTCACCAATTTCCATTCCTTCCTCTGTCATGTTTGCGACCATCCATCCATCTCCTTCAATAAAAACACAACAAAAACCGCAGGATGTGAGAATTCATTAATTTACTAGTGTTAACATGTAAATAAAGGTATAAGCATAGTCTATGTGCGTCAGTGTGGATTCACTTATTGAAGTTCTGCTTTTCAATTTGCAGGAATTTGCATTAAAAAAAAACACTTTTACTGCGGGATGTTAAAACAGTTCCTGCCTTTATTACTAAAGTTTTTGTGGATTGTACTGGCAATAGGGAAAGTTGTAAACAGTGTGAAATCACTATAGATAAATAAGTTAGAGTCCAGGATGAATCTTACTGACTGCTATAAACTAGGGAAACGACACAGGTAGGCACTTTTTAATTTGTACGCGTTTGCTTCAGGGAGAAAAAAATATATATGAATGTGTCTATATAAATTTTCTGACAACTTCAGCTAGTTTAACCTCACAAAATCCCAAGTTTAGATAGCAAAGGGAATTAGTCTAAACACACAAAGCGCTGTTTATTCTCGGCTTTATCTGCAAACTAATCCGGACAAACAAAACAAACAAAAAAAAGCATCTAACACACCACTACCTGTGGTGACTTGATCTGATAGAAGTCCCAGCCAAAAGAATCCCCTTTGTGTAAAACCAACTCATCATCTCCCAATGTGAACAATGTATCTTTCTCTGAAAACTAATTTCCCTGTGAAAATGGGGTTTTAAGTCTTTCGAGGCCCCTTTTAGAGCCTAATAAACTAATTCCAAGGCTGATGCCGAAAGAGGCTTATTTCAATTTCACAAGGCTTTGTTCGAATTTGTTTTACATTATGATGCTGCTGGGCAGAGGAGGGGGGTTGTTGGGTAATGTTCTCTCTTGTTTTTTTTTAATGTATTCAGGTATCTTGTTTTGTTGTTTGAGCTCCTCGCACTGTAAAAGCGAGAAAAGAAAAATATGTACGAGCTCAGTCTGGCTCGTTCTCCCGTTCCCTCTGCGTGCCTGTCCTTCTGTGTCTGCTGATGTGCAATACAGAGAATAATGGGTCACACATCTACTCTAAAATGGTGTATATTAAAATGATAAAAATCGTGCTCTCACCGATGCCTAGCCGCAGTGCTGGAAAAGAAGCCCGCGTCTTTCTGCACCACTTTAAGGCTGTCTTTCCATAAAATAAATATTTTTGCTGCACATTAAAGCAAAGTAAATCTCCATAAACCCAGTGATTATTCTCACTATTTTCCAGTTGGCCCGAATAAGCCAGGCAGCCTCGTACCAACTGTTGTAAGTCCCTCACAAACAAGCAAACACACACACACACAAAATAAAGGACATAGACATGGAGTGAAAGTTGGACGAGTTTATCCTTGTCTGTTTGTTGTGAGCCGACAATAACAAGTATAGAGATGGATTTCATCACATAAAAAACACAAACAAAGAACATGAATGAGTAAAGTTGCAGGCACATCAAAAACCTCCTGAGGGAAAGTAATACGTGCAAAACTGTGGTTAACACACAGGGTGCAGAGCAGTGTAATTGCAGCCACTAATGACTATAATAATATACTTTAACACTGGGCTGCTCAACTCTGGGCTGCCTCTGCTGATTGCAATCATTGTTAATTGCACGTGTTTGAGCCAATTAAGAACAGTAGCAATTTCAACTGTTGCTGCCCTGACTATGTCCGTCTCATTCTAGCAAGTTTACCGAAAATCAGCTTTTCGTTTTATGAAAAACATTTTTTTAGGGGGGGAAATGTAATCACGGAAATGAATAAAGTGAGGAGTAAGCAATAACTTCAAAAAACTAATTATCGTCAGAGCAAGTAGTGCTAGACGTGCCTTTACAAGACACAAAGATTATGTGTCTGTTTGTTCAGATTAACAACACAGCCCAGGGGAAAGTAAACCTCTAACAGCCTTTAGCCTTCTGTTCTTACTGGAAACTAAATATTGTGCCTGAAAGTACACCAAAACCAATAAAATAACTTTTAAAATGTGAGTTTTATTTCATACGGATAATGCTTTTCCCGATAAATGTAGTGCCAAACCTACGATCTGACTGGCCACCCGAGAGGCCACCTCAGTTCTGGATAAATGTGTTCAAAGATATTCTGTATCCAAGACATGAAAACTCACGGATATTCAGAAATATGAAAGCGAGAACTCCAAGCACAAGTGAAAGGAGTATATAACGATGCTCCCCATTGACTTCCATGTCCTATCCCTCAAACACAGGCGCTGCATCTCAAGGACATGTCAGAGCCTCACCCTTTTAAAATCAAACCAAGTGCACTACTTTAACATTAATCATTGTAATGTTGGGTAAATAGATCAGATCAAAACACATTTACTGAGCTGAGACTGGAAGTGCTGTTGATGACATGATTTTTTTTTTTAAACTTGAATCTCTGGGTTGACATTGTAGGCACTGCAGCCTGAAGATGGTGTTTAGAAAGTCTCAATATCACTTTTATATTCTAAATATCACAATTAGTTGTATTCTAACTTATTAATAACATGCTTCATGAATTTTAAACAGCCGCACTCACATCTTAACCACATAAGTTTGAATACTTTCACTGGCTGGCAGTGCAAACTAAAGATTGTTTACTGGCAATTGTATCTCCACCACCACTCCATCCTCCTTGCACAGTACTCGTATGCTCTTGCAGCCAAGAGGAAACACTGTTATAGGAGTCAACAAGCCTCATATTGGTTGCATCTAACAGTACGGAAAAGAAGAAACCTTCTTGACAGTTTTACATGTACTTGGTAACAATAATCTGCACAACAAAGATGAGAAAATACGCAAGCTTTATTGGACATTCACACAACAAATGGTCGCTTTGCTTTTATGCCACAAATAGCAGCATGGGGCACTTTACAAGCCTCTCCAACAGTCAGAGCGTGGTCAGGGAGAGCAGTGTCATGCCTATAAATATCACCCCTCGCCAAGTCCTGGCATGATGGAACCAGCTGAGCTAGCTAGACGCTGAGGTAACATGTCATTGTGCGGAAACTAAAGCTATTGACAGGCATCCAACTGGCCCGTACTGCAGTGAAATGCTACCCCTAAAGTTACACAGGCACATCTGACTCACGACAGAATGGCTTTCCTTAACTTCCAGTGCCTTCTCTTTTTTTTCTCTTTTTACATTAAGGGCCTTGATGCCTCATTAAGTTTCCCCTTTATGAGACAAAACCATTTGGAAATGTACTGTATACTTCATCGCTGCCACTTAGGCTAAAAAGAAAAATGTTCCAAACATATTCTGCAAAAAGAAAAAATATAATTGTCTAAGAACTTATAAAGCGAAGCTGTACAATTTTCCAATTCTGAAAACACTTGTGATAGGTCGTTTGCGGTTATCCTTGTTCTTCAGGGTACATCAATACATCACCATTAAAATCAGAGCCGTGCATGCCTCTGTGCGTGGTTGTGTTTGTTACCATCCCCATTCCCCTGTTTGAATAGCAGTATAATAGCTTTTACTCGTAATACCTATAACTAAGTAAAAAACAGTCATCTTTAAATGGAAAAAAAACATCTCGTCTAACATTTTTTAGGCAGATCAGCCTCATTCATTCACTGACCATCACTCCTGAGTGTCTGCATGTGTATTTTCACAGATTGAGACTCTCGGGGGACTATACTCTGACTTTCACCTGCTGCACCCATGTAGCTTGCACACACACAGATACATAGTGCCAGCAGCCATTTCACCATGCTCCTGAATGCCATTAATTCCTGTGCCACATCTCCTTAGGTGAGAAACTGGTGACAGAGGCAACCTCGGTGAGAGAAATGTTCCTCCTCTGCATCGCCGTCCCTCTCTTTTCTCTTTCCATCCCTTCAGTTCCATCCATATTCAGCAGGTTGAGGCATGCGGAATGAGGAGAGACGGAAGAGGAAGGTGGAGATGGGGAGAAAGGGGGAAGTTGGTGTGGGTGATTGTAAATTCAGCACCAGCGCGTCTTGTTGCACGAGAATGACCCATCATTTCACACTGGGCCAAATGGCATGAATTCATAAATATAAATAACAGCAGCAAATTCATCTTTTCAGGATGGCGTACAGAAGCACAGGCAGGGCCACATTAGAATAAAGATGCCTTCTCTCTCACTATCTTTCTATCCTCTTATTATTACCCACCGCACACCCTTCTTGCCTTCTTTATCAACTTCCACGTTTTCCCAGCTCCTTCTTCCTAATTTCCCTTTTCCTCCACTATCTGCTTCCTTTTTTTGTTGTTGTTGTTGTTCTCTTCCAACCAGTGCATATCTACTTCGTGATGATTCAGAGTTATACAGTATGTGGGAAGAGCAGACGAGTACACAGTTTTTCTTGCTCTCTTATGGAAGAATATGCATTAGACCTAACTCCCCTTGCACACTTTTCTACAGTATTGAAACTGCTTTTGAAAAATGTTTCAGGTGTAGGTTTAGGGGTGAAAGAACACACAAGAGACCTACCAAGCTGAAGTAGGAAGCAGCAAATGAGTGGGAAGAGATTGGCCTGGGCCGCTGACAGTTGGATTGATTAACAGCTTGGCTCTGCCTCTGAAAAACTGACATCCTTTGATTTTGTACAGTTCTTCAGTTCTTTTCGCTGCAAATTTCCATCCGCCCTACCCCCTTTGATTGTTCAGCTCGCTGCTTTATATTCTTCTTGGCAATACTCAGTCAAACGTACACACACAATCAACAGTTCTGAATGTGGCTGTACACACCGAGAGGCACACAAAACATTATACCAAGGGCAGATACAACTGATTAGTCAAACTGCCACCTCTCCACACCACCAACGCTAATGGTTACCACAGTAGTCAGAGATAAATATGTCCAATCAGAGACAATCACTGAGCGGGCTGAAGAGGCAGGTGAACTAATGACAAGGATGGAAGAGAATGATGAAATCCTCTCACAGAGCCTGACAGTCATTTGGCAACAGTGAAAACAAGTGGGTTTATTTTTTTTTCCTCATGCATCAGGTGGGAACGAATGACACCCACAGCCTCCATCTCTCTCTCTCTCGTT